TAATTTAAACTCAGAGAAGCTGAGATTGTGAAGAATATCACGAGTTGGCGTTTCGTCCCGGCTTCCACTACTGGACTCATCAGTAAGGTAATGTAGTGGGAGCCTACCTTAGACGCCTGGAAAGATGTTAGAAAGAAGTTCTATATAAACAATTACACATGTAATCAAGCACTTGCGAGAAATGAATTATTATATAATACATATAGAGAATTATTATATAATACATATATTAAACAATTATTAAATAATTGTTATATATGTATAGTATATTAAACAGTTATTATAAAATTTATAAAATACTATAACTTATTGCAGTCGTGAACTTTAATTTTTCACGTTTTAATTATCAACTCCGAAGCACGCGCCGAAACCCGTTAATGAGACAGGTACAGCTGTGTAGATTTCACATTATGTAACACGACATTCACTTTCAAGAGCTCTTATTATTTTCCACAACTCGGAAAATTACCTTATCTTGTTGGATTATATATAGTTTCTGACTACCATAAGGTTTTAAACTTCAAGTTTTGGCGTAATTAGTTTTATTATCGACAGAGATAAGTTGTTATCAAATCACTCCCAATTAATTTCTGAGAAATTTCCTCACTCTTTTGGGTGAGCGAGAAATATTAAGGTTATCAAACCTGACGATAATTTACGTATTAATAAATTTATGTGACAATCGTAACTCCCCATATGGCATCTTATTGATAATTTCTTACTCTCAAATAAGTCAATATTAAACAAAGTATTTTATCATATATGAATCATTTTGCATTTTTGTTAATTATAATTTACGTTTCACACAGATTCATAAATAGATGCAGTGAAATAAAAAAAATATGTACGAACGTGTCTACACAGCCGCACAAACACGTACCTATATACATACAAATGATTGTATTTATAGCTTTACATGAACAGATTCTGAGTGTGAACCATATGTTTTGTATTCTGCTGACAGGTGGAAAAAGAGTTGAGTTTACATCTGATGAGGATTCAATCAACAATGATGCATGCAGCGAGACCAGCGGCCAATCCGACAATCGTAGTGTGCTGGAGGATGTGAATGACAACGAGGTGGACGAGCTCGCGCAGCAGGAGGCGTTCGAGGAGAAGCTGAAGGAGGCGATCGACGGTTTGACACAGAAGAGCGCGAAGGGCCGGACTATCTGTTTTAATGGTATAGAGAAAATTTTCGCCATTAAGTACATACCTGATTTCGTGGAGGACAGAAAGATGACCATCACGGATGCTGTGGAGCGTGGCTTGAAAAAGGGCCGCGGCGACGAGCAGTCAACAGCTGCAAGATTGAGCACCCTGTTGTGCGTCCAATTGGGCGCCTTCGACAGCGCCGAGATGGTCTGCAGAGATCTAAAATCGATTCTCACCTTCATCGCTAACGACAATACAGCTTCTGTCCACGCTCGCGCCGAGGTAACGTGAATTGTACGATTACCATTGTGCAAAGTGTTACGTTCATCGGCATTTGAGAAGTCGAGTCTTATATTTAAGACCAGTCAATTTTTATATTTAAGATCGTCTTAAGTTCCGTTTTGAGGTGTCACGAACCAATTAGAGGACCATAGTTTCTTAAAACATTACTTAAGGCAATCTTGAAGTATCGACCTAAGACTGTTTTAAACAGCGTCTATAAATCTATATCCATCTTATTTTAATTAATAATTGGAATATGAGAAAAGTAATCGACTGTGTTTGGACAATTTCTTACGGCTTTTTACAACTTATGACCTTTTAAGTAAGATTGTGGACTTAGATTGACGATTTTAAGACGTAAAATTTAAGCTTTAAATTTTAAGCCGTAAGATATTGACCAATTGTAGTCGATTCTCTTCACATTTGATTGGGATTGATCAATTTTTTACGGTTTAGAGCTTAAGCTTAAATTTTATATCTTTAAATTTCATTGTAGACGTCGCTTTAAATAGTCTTCTATAATTTGACTATCTACATATATCTATTGATATTTCAAACTTACAATTTTTAACGTCGGAATCCGAATGACGATGGTAAACGTACTCTCGGAGATTTGCCATTGCCTTCCAAGAGGTGGCAAATAAAATTTGATATTCTAGGTGGATTTGAAACTTGGATCTTTGGCACAGAGAGCAGTTATGCTGTGCTCCTCGATCGCAACTTTAAGTAGTCTTAAGATGTCATAAATAAATTAAAGTCATATTAGCGTCTTAAGACATTATTTAAGACGGTCTTAAAAATAAGAACGAGTATCGACCAATATCTCGAAAGAGGATTTTAACTTTTTTGTTAATTCAATTTCAAATTAATTTTTAAATGATTGAGGCATACAAATGACAGCATTTCATAATAATATGAATAAAGATTTTATTAAATTTATTTAAATTTTATTTTTTCTCAAATCTCTATCGTTATTATATTTTTTGATCTGTATAAAGAGTCATGCATAAGAAAATGTAGAAATGAAACAATCTCCAAACGGTCGCGAAAAAAATTATATTCTTTTGTATAATTTAGTGACCAAAATTTTTATATTAAAAAATGATTTCAGTGTTGCTGGGCGTTGGCTATGAATCAATTCTTGTCAGGCAACGATGCGACTGACACCATGGAAATTGCACAGTTACTGTCGTCTATCTTTTCGGGCTCTTATTTGAAAGGAAATGGCGCGATTGCGAACATATCCCCGGATGTGGCGGCGTTACACGTGGCAGCTATCTCATCGTGGACCCTGCTTTTAACAGTTATGACCTCTGCGGATATCTACAATTTGCTCGCGAGCGGCAAAACGAACAGTTACATGCCGTAAGTCGATTGTCTGAGTATGTGGTGAGTATAGCTGTCAAACGGCGATGAACACGTGAAAATTTTTTCTTCCAGTTCGCTCAATCGATTGCGCGAATTGCTGGAATCACCACATCTCGATGTACGTCTATCAGCCGGCGAGGCGTTAGCAGTGATATTCGAACTCGGTCGTGATTTCTCCTGCGACTATGAACAGGAGTGGGCACTCGATCTAATCGAAATTCTCAAAGAACTCGCCACGGATTCCAACAAGTATCGTGCTAAGAAAGATCGCAAGCAGCAACGCGCTAATTTTAGAGATATTCTGCGTTATATCGAGGTGGGTAGTTATATTGTGCAAACTGTTTACTCTTGAAGGATATCTGTCTCTGTTTTTAAAAACGAAACTTGGCGTTTGCATGCCAACATACGGCGAGGTGCTACACGGTCAGTTTCACTTTTAGGAAGACATCGTTCCGGAGATGCACGTGAGATTTGGTCAGGAAATTCTGTATTTAGAGGGATGGTGCGCGAGGACTCAGTACAACGCTTGCTGCCGGCTATTAGGCCCTGGTATCAATTTCCATCTTGCTGAAAATCAACTCCTGCGCGAGATCTTCCACCTCGGCAACAAAGTTCTACCTCCACCGGTCACGATCAAAACGAGTAAATTAGAGCGAGTTAGTATTCATAGCACTTGTTCGTTTTAAACAACATGTTTTTAACAAGACTAAGTGTCTTATCTTTTTTGTCGACTTGTAGACATTGATGAACGCGGCCGCGTTCAAGGCACGAACCATTCAGCGCAACAAGAATCGTGACAAACGATCTGCAGCTATGGCACCGTAATCTTACTTCTACTCCTATGCTGGTTGTCTCTTTTAGTGTAATACAAGTAATATTTGAATTTTTTCCTTTAATTTATTGTAACTATATTTAATAGCATAAATTACTGTTTTCTCACGACCAGACTACACGCTCCTCGGATTATGAAAGATAAATTTTGGAATATGGTTAGATTATCTCTAGATATGATTCCTTATAAAACGGTATTGATGCATGGGCTCTTGTTGGTTGTAGAGAGGATCTCAAAGTTGCGCCTTTGGCACAGCTTTTTCAGTGACAGATCGTCTATATACACAGCTGTGCATTCCCAGATAGCCAAACCTGCCAAAAGCACGCATTGCTAATTTATGCTACATATTATAATGGCAAAAATCGAGCAGCAGTCGAACACAGTTTACCATTTCAGTATAGCGCTAACAGAAATACAGCAAAAATAGAACAGACCTGCGTCATATTACACTAGCAAAAATTCTGTAAAAATTCATCAAACGTTACCGAAATAAAGCAAGCAGAATTCGAGCATTACATGCTGGCAAAATAAATTAATGTAAGATATCAATTAAGATCTAAGAGTCGAGCTGTGTGGCTCCGCGGTAAGGCGGTGGCTTTGTGTTTCGAACTACATACGAGGTCCTCGGTTCGAGTCCCGACATCGCGTCGAGCGTCCGACATTTTTTCTCGGTCCAGCTTACATTAACAAATAAAAATAGATCAGAACTTGATATAAAACATGACTACATGTTAAATCAGCACAATGTTGTTAAAAATCTGGCACACTTATTGTCATATTATGACAGCAAAAACGCAGCAAAAATCGAGCACAGCCTGCCGTCACGTCGTAAATCAGTACTTGATTATGTCAGATCATGCTGTATTTTTACCGCGTTTTCGCTGTCACGATGCGATAGCAAATAATGATTTTTGTTGTATTTCTATCATTGTGTTAAGTTGGCAGGATAAGCTGTTAGAAACTAAGCTTAATGAGGAAGCAGCAGCTTGATATCTGCTGTAACGTCACGATCAAGTTTGCTGGCATACTGCATTTTGCTATCTGGGTTCTTGTGCGTCACCATTGGACAGAAGAGTTGCATTTATTGTGTATAGAAGCACCACAATTATTTAATTCAAAGTAAAATTCTAAAAAACGCAATTGAATTAAAAGGCAATTATAAAAAAATTGTTTATTCAAAAAAATTCTTACAAGTTGGAAAATGAAAAGTATCATCATTAAAATAATTATTATAATATTATAATAATAATGTAATGTTAAATATTATATTAAAATAATAATATTATTTATTTATAATAATATAATATTATTTGACGTTGAAACTAACATCCTGAATGAAAATATGTATAAACATAGACAAAATACAACCGTCTATGACAAACAATCGAATCATGTGATCTTCAAACTTTAACGATCCTGTCTACTGTTTATAATTAAAGTGCTTTTTGTGATTTTACTTCAAATTGGATAATTGAGATGCTTCTATATACAGTAGGTGTAACACTTATGTACAAAGGCGCAGATACGCACAGTTACATATATAGATGATTCATCATTGAAAAAACTGTGCCAAAGATGCAACTTTGAGACCCTCTCTACGACCAACCAGGGCCCCATGCATTAAAACCACTTTACCAGGAATCATATCTAGATAATTAGCTATATTCCAAAAGTCATTATAATCCGAGGCCCGCACAGCGTATAGTTTGGTCGTCAATCGATTTTTAAATCGAAATTGTACAAATATTCCACGTGCAACATACGCCCTTTGTCCTTGCAGAAATTTTGTCGATGTTAATATATGATTCATCTTATCACTTTAATGGCTATATTTATTTAATGATATATATATATACTTAATGATTTGATAAATCCACGTGTATATACAAGTCGAAGTATGTGTATATACAATTGTAATACTGGTAATAATGATTGTATATCATATAAATTATTTTATTACATGTATTAATTGTTTTATCAACTCAAATATTAATGATTTTTTGAACTGTTATTGTTTTTCTCTTTGATATGTATTAATTACATGTTAGATACATGTTGATTTTGGCAATAAAATTATGTTTCAATTAACTCAAGATTAAATGTCTGATTAAAAAATGGTTGTAATATGTAAATGCATGGAATTATTTCGTATATAACAATAATTGTACACATGAGTTAAATATTTACGAAATATTTACTAGCATTGTACATAATAATATATAAGTTATAATGACGTATTCAATTAAACTAAAATGTAATTATACAAAAATAAACATCAATGATTAAATTACTTGTTTTATTATGATTATACATCTTTCTCTATAGAACAACAATCCAATAAATATCGAACAGATCTCATTATCTTTGACGATTGAAAACGTTGATCACAGTCACTTCCATTAAAAAAAAAAAACATTGTACAACAATCACGAAATCATATAATTACATAACTTTTTAATTAAGTACATTTCAATCTATTTCAATATTTGCACGATAACTTTTTACAATCACAATTACAATACAGTGGTACATAAAAATAACGTTACACTTAATTACAGGACTTATCACTAATATTAAGCGTACAGTCATGGCAATCAATTTCTATAGCCTCGTTTCATTATATAAACAGGGTTGGGAACATTACTTCATGAAAGTAACTTATTACCGTTACTTTTTAGACAAAGTAATAATAAAATAATGAGACTGGGGACTATAGGAGTCAAGCGCGGTGATCAGTGCGCAAATTAAATAATTCTATAGCAAATTTAATTCTATATAGTCTACAGTCAAATTTAATTAATTAAAGTCCATTAATAAGAATCTTATAATATTCTGCTTGCACGTTTCAGTTTCAATATTTGCGCATTTATCGGCGACAAAGAAAATAAAGATAAAGATCGAAAATTGCATGTGTTTGAATACTGCTAGACGGGACGAGAGGGCAGTAGATAAAATAAAATTACATCGTTCAACTAGTTGGAAAACTAAATGGTAACATGTCCATATATTAAAATCAGATGTTATCAGTGAACGTTTGTAACGGTTAGTCAGAAGAATATAATTTAAAAAATAAGACCTCGAATAGCAGCAGTCCACGTAACAAATTTAAAAAATGGATCTGGCATAGAAAGAATATAATTATACAAAAAAAGGGTAGAAATATATAAACGAAATCATGTCAAGTGTATAAAAAATTGTATGTTACAAAAGGTATAGATCCTTTTAACTTGAATTTTACAATAATGTTAAAATATTGACATTAAGATATACTAATAAATAAGTTACACAGAGTTATAGGAAATATTATTTATTAAAAAAAGTACTTAAACCAATTCGTTAACCGTTACTTAGAAAGTAACAAAATGACATTATAAATAACGCAAATAAATTGCTTCCCAACTCTGTATATAAATAAATACTGTTATTGACGGCGGACATAACAATATAATAAATTACTATATATAATTATATATATATATAATTAATATATATAATGTATATAATATAATTATATAAAAAGACTTCAGAGAAATTACAAAACACAGGTGAATTTGTGCATATATTATAGCAAAAACAAAATATCCTATATATAATTATATACTCTTATTAGTCACTTATATATTTATTCAGTTTTAGTAAAAGTAAAAAACTATAATTTTATATTTCATAATTTATTTTTATATATTGAATAAAAATAAATAATTTTGATAAAATATTGCCAATTCAGTACATAAATTTACTAGTAAATGCATACAACTATTAATATTATGTTTTTGCTGTAACATATATTATAAATCGTTTCATAAGCGGCTTATGTATGCATATTGATTGTTTGCGCTTTAAATTCTTTCTCGGATAACATATGCCATCGATAGCCCAATATTCTAGACACTTCTTGCTCCGTGCTCTCATAACTACGGCTATTTACCTTAATCCATCGATAATACTCAGGTGACCTATCCAGAATTTTCGACCAAGCTCTGTCACATCTCTTCAGAACTACGTTTCGTCGAACATACAAGCAGCGTAAGTATTTCGCGGTAGAGACAATCTCTAAAATCGTAGCAGTCGATATTTTATCTCGGATCATCTGTGGAAGAAGTATTTGTCATTATATTGTAAATCAATAGAAATTTGCAGACAAAAATAGAGTAATTCTTTTTTAATAACTGGTTATTGTTATATTAGACATTCAGGAAAAGCTAGATAATTGATGATTTGTAACGTTGATCTTGAATGTAAAAATGTTTTTATATCTAACTAAATCTCAAAAGTTAACAACTTTATTCATTTGAGTTCTGAATTATTCATATTTAATATAGTTATTCAATTAACTGTATCTAAACGCAGAAAGAAGAACGTATTTAGAATGTATTATAAATAAGAAGATTGAGGAAGCTTGTAGAACATTCAACAGTTTAAATATTTAGCACGCGCAGCATCGGGATAAGTGTAAGCTTATAGAATAGTTAGAAGGAACTTACACTCACACAATAGCAAGAAAGACTTTCATAACGTGTAAAGGTACGAACGCATGCCAGCACATCGTAAAGTCGCGTTGTTAACATCAGTGTTTTAGGAAAGCTATCACAAGCTTTTTGATTCAAATACAAAATGCTACCAGTGTTTGCAGATTTGGGCACATTCGGCAGAATTGCACTAACGCCTCGTCCAATCTCTTAGCGAAGCTCCTGTGCAGATAGTATCTCGTGACTCCCTTAAAAGCGTACACCCGTATTGTCGAATCAAAAAACGCTCCGTGAGTGAGTACCATGGATGGCGAAAGCTGCAAGACATTATTAGTGTGAAATAAAATTTCTGCACTTTTCTATCTTTAATATAAAATTACATATTATCATCTCACTAACTTGTGTATTTGGATTATCCAATACTATACTGTGACACGGTATAGCGCTATGTTCCAGTAAATCGATAGGCAAAAGGATATCCGTGGCTTTATGACTCTCTATCTCAAAGTGTACTTTTAAATAAGGATTGCTCTTTTTCATCTTAATCCAAGATGATCTCTTTGGCTGAAATAAAAATCTGAATAAAGATTTATTGATGCAAAAGGATTAGTATATGTATTAGAGATTATACTTACCAATCTTATGGTAGTGTCCTTTGGACTGTATCGATTTTGCAGAATATGAAGATGCCTCAATTTTGTGTATCCTATTAATTCTATTATATCCTCATGCAAATTTTGAGGACTAATGACTAAGACCTGAAAGAATATTTTAATTAAATATCAAGACACTACATATCGATCCTATCGACTGTTACATACTTGTTGTACTCACGTTTAAGTTAATGAATACTCCTACATGTAATAATGGACAATTGTAACGTGTGGTGTTTATCAATATCAATTTCGATAATGTCTGAGTACAATTTGTACAGATGTCGTCCATTAAGTGCAACGCTTCATTGCTGTCGAGCATTAGATCTATCAATTCTATACATCTGAGATTCTGCAAATTTCTCATCAGTCTCTTGAGAGCTTCCAGCAGTTTACCACCTGTGCCAAAGACTCTAATTTGATCGGGATCGTCCCTGTTCGCCATGTTACAGGGAAAGGTAAACTTCAACCTGCGAATGTAGGTACCCACGCCAGCCACAGACGTGTTGTCTGACCCTTGTCGTTCAGCGTACCATGATATCATGTTCATGAATTCATAAAGATTGTAGAAATTTAACATGGGCTCAAATACAAGCGTGCGGAAGTTCCGTCCGACTTTGTTCAGGCAGGTGGACGTTCTTATGTGATCCAGGACGTACTGCCAGCCGCTATAGTAGTTGAACTTTCCTCGCGTGAGAGTGGTGTCCTCCAGAGTAAACGTGGACCATACGTTCTGGAGTTTGAAGGCACGATACCACGATCGACACACCAGAGACGCATAGTAACGCTCGCGAATAGTCAGATACGAGAATATCTCCTCCAGCAGAATGTCAGGTGTCTGATCCCAGGAGCTGTACTGCTTGTACAGCTTATCCTCCTCCGTGTCCTCCTCCTCCAGATCTATATATAAGGCTTGGCAGATAAGATTTGTTTTATTCCTTGTAAAGAGCTAAACTTCTATCTACAGTACTATGTGTTTTTTCTCTCCTTGTATCGACGTCCTATTTTTATATATGTCTACCTTGAATGCGAATTATTTTTAGACGATATTAACATCGATTCCAATTACAAATTAATCTTTCACGCTTTTCAACGTCACTTTTTCTCACTGAGGTGAGAAGACTGCGTTTGCCGGTATCCTCTACGTAAAACGTTACATATGCACACACATACCCAGGTGTTACATGAAAGAATTATGCAAAACTATACAGAGAGGGAAAATCGTGTTTACACGCGATGGCATGAGCGTATGATTACCTCTTTAATCGAATATGAAAAACATATAGGAATGACTTGTGATTGACAACATTTTATATTTGAAACGTAAAATCGCGTGGAAAAGCAAAGGACATCCGGTTTTTCCGGGCCGTAAGATCGCAAGGCAGAATCCCGTAGAATATTCATTTATTTTCATGGATTTCTCTCGGAAATTGTGAAGAGGGAAAGAAAGAGAGAGATAGCATCACGCGCTCACCTTTGTCCTCTTCGTCGAATTTCCAACAGCCTTTACTCATTTTCGATCCGATCGCTGCTCATCAGTATTACATTGAAATAACGTTTCTTCTCTACGGAGTATTTATACGCTATATTGCTAAAAATATACTGAAAAAACGGGAAGGGGCGCCCACCGCGACCGAGCGCGCATCGCCATGATGTGATTTTAAATCACCGCACCTCAATGGGTTTACGGATCGCCGTAGAAATTTTTACGGAAACGTCGCCGCGCGAGAAGAGAGTGCAAGAGAATGCCCGTTGACGCGCGACGACGATCATGTTTCGGTACATCATTCCAAGAAATACGCTTGATGTGGGAATCAATTCCAAAGACAAATTTTCTCGCGCCGCCACGGCATCAGAGAGAGAAAGAGAGAGACAGATGAAACGGGAGAGAGAGAGAGAGAGAGAGAGAGAGAGAAGAAAACAGCGGGACAAGTCGGAGCACACGTCCTAACCTATCCTAACCTATAATGATTGTGTCGAATGGTCCGTCACGCAATCCAATGCAATCGTAAAAAGCAAAACTAACCTAAATCTCTGTCCGCTGCTGCAGTTCGCGACGCGGTCTGCCTCGGATTAATACAATGAACGTGATCGGCAAATTATGTCAATTGAGGCCAGCGTTGCAAGCTTACAGGTGCGTGACGTACGAAACATGTGAAATCAAGTATTTGGCCGGATTGTTGTAAAAAAGACAAAAGATAGTTTTTTTTTTTCTAACGATTGTGCAGTATCTTCGAGTATTGTTTGATGTTATTTAGGAGAATTATAGAGTGTTTATTAAAACTTGATTTAGCGTGAATAAGATAATGAAAGGAACGCAAATACAGTCATTTAGAACTATAAAAATACATATACTTTCTTTCATAATTGTGTACATTTTTATTCTAATTTTACTAGTCGTTGCTCGTAAAATCTCAAACATTTGTCTCTGAAATGCATTTGATTTTTGTAGAAATTTATGCCTCACACATATTAAAAATGGTTACGAAGGACCTGGTAAAACCACCGTAACGTTCATCAGTAAGGAGATGGGCGCTCGAATCTATGTGACTCATTGTGACCAGGTAATTTCTATTTTGTTCTATCAGGAGACGCGGTAGTGTCTCTGGCCATGTTCAAAAATCTACTAGTTCATTTTTAATTTATCTTGAATAATTATTTATTCATCCTAGTATACACAATTGGGTCATTTGTATCCTGTACATTTCTTTTCTTTGAAATACTAAGAACATATACTAGGAGCTAAATAATGGTTTTTTATCCTTTCTCTTCTTTTTTTAAATATGCAACTTTCTAGTAATTGAGAGAATGGATTAAAATGAATTAAAATTTTAATCTATTTTTTAACTTTTTTAGATTTAATTGAATTGAAAAATTACATTTCCCATTTATAATTTTAAATTAGCAATAATTACAATGCATTTAAAGAACTGAATTTTTTTAAGATTAAAGGTATTAAAATGTGCTTTATGCAATTCCTATAAATGATTAAAAATGCATTGAAAAAAATTCATTTCAATAGCCATGAATATGTGTGTACTTCTGAAACTCTGAATCCACATTCCAATTCATTTCAATCTGTTCTCAATCACTGGATTTATAAATATTTTTTTCAAGATGTTAGAGTGTGTACTAAAGAATCATTTAATAATTTTTGTATTCTTATAAAAATAGTGAAAATTAATTCGAGACACAATCCATAAGTAAGAAAAGACCACAAAATTGTCATACGTACAATGAATTCGTATAAATCATCAATATTTTATATGTGGGGCAAAGTATATTAATTCCAGATTATGATTTTTTATTTTCAGGTGGGATTCACATTTAATACCGGAATGAAAGTGTTGGGGCCAACAGTGCTGTTTCCTCGACACGCTGTCTGCTGGAACATTGAGTCTGGCAAATACATAAACGAAGCGTCGCTTTCGTTGTTTACTGTTCTCGAGCCAAAGCCTGATATCTTAATTATTGGATTGGATGATCACTACAATTTTGATTATATAAAAAATCTTCGAAAATGTGTACAAAAGCTTAATATCAATACGGAAATACTTCCCGTATACAATGCATGCGCGGTGTTCAACTTCATCAATGAGGAGGGTAGATTAGTTGTTGCAGCGTTGATACCGCAAAAAGCACCTAAACAACCACTGAAACTACCGCGGCGTGAAGCTGCGAAACAAATAACGAACTCTGATAGTGCAGAAAATAGCAAGACAGACAGTGCAAAAACAGAAAGTACAAGAAATAGATAGAATACATGGAGGTATATATATATGATAATTTAAGAGAAGACTGTATTATATTGTATAATAAAATGAAACTTCTGTAAATTATATGTAAGATTAAGAAATTATTTTGTTCATTCTAGTTGGTCAAAATGAAACATTTAACGCCCATTTCCACCAATGCAGATTAACTTCGATCTCGGTTCAATTTGCTCTTCGTCTTTTTCTAATTCTAAAAATTAGAAAAAAAATTAACAGTAAGTTAAACCAAGATTAATCTGCATTGGTGGAAACAGGCATAAATGTTTTAACAAAAAGAAAAACAAATGTTACTCGTAATCGGAGAAAATCAATAAATTGCTTAAATTGAACTACACACATTACGAGTATACTCCGGTATACTAAAACTACGTTGAGATTATGAGGCCCAATCGCTGCATAATATAACGATTTTACGTAATAGCGCGGATTCAAACTTTGAATAAGTTATTAGCTTCTAAAATATCAAGAATGTCCCAATGTCTAGGAATAAAGATAGGCATACGAATTTCACCGTCTCGACATTTGACATTTTGTTAACAAGTTCTTCATAATATTCTAAATGGAGACCCTAGCGAAATAAAATCAAAAAGAACAATGGTCTGTTCTTCGCTCGCTTTTACGAATTTTCATGCATTTTCGTTGATCTGAAAAATTACCAAGATAGTCCTACGTTTTAAAAAATAAAAATGTTATTTATTTGCTCAAATTCCGAGATTCTCTCAAAGAAATGCATAAACGATCATCACGTAAATCGTCGGTCACGACGACTGAAACGTAAATTTTGAAAAACAACGTGTCACGTATTTTTATATATCATTGATGCATCCAGTTGTGTGTCTTATTGTAATCGATCAAAAAAAATAATTTCTTGACGAATTAAACATACAGGCAGATTGTTTCCCTTACTTGATAACTTGACACATCGCTTTTCGCTACTTTTCGGCCCACGTAGGACGAAGCGGTGGGTATATAGTTTTCTCGACAATCTGGAAAAATCACGCTACGAATAATAAACGATGCCTTTGACGGATAAGAGTATATTCAACTTGATTTATTTTCACACCAGAAATGTACAAGAGACGGGTCATAAAAGCTCCGAGACTGAATGGATTATTATAAAACATATTAGGTTTGGAAGAAATTCGTAACTTGCTTTCAGAGTTTCTCGTAGTTTTCGATAACTTGTATAAATACAGTTTCTTCCGTCACGGCCCTTGATTTATATACTACAGGATCCTTTGTGAACAATATGCACGTATTTCTCCAAGCGGACGGTCTTAAAAGGAAAAATCTTAAAAGGATGACGAGGATGAGAAACGGCTGAGAATCAAAGGACTTGTCGTTTCGTCCAAATGCAGACAGGTAGTTCTTAACAAATGTATTGAATATGGATATCTCTACAAAACAATTCTCTCAATTTTTTACTGGACTAGATGCTTTATCGTAATATTGAGCTCGACGGGGATTACTTCTGAACAGGAACTCGGACCGAAATTACATCTTTGGATTAAAATTTCGGTCTGATTACGATTGTGGTCAGAGGCTATTCAATTTTTGGTTTCGGCGTTGGTTTCAGTTCTTTTAATAATAACGGTGACCGTTACACGTATATAATTATATGGAAAACTAAAATCGAAAAGGACCGACATTCAAACAGTCCTGGTTAATAATCGTTATGATAAAAGAACTGGAACTAAAAATTGTAGCCTCGGACCATCTATAATAATGATTCGGACCGAGTTCTTGCTCCTGAGGGAGACAAGCCAAGCGCGCATCTGTTTCAAGAATTTCGTTTTATTATAATTCACTCAGCTCTGCAACTTTTTGAGACACATCTTATGAAATTCGTCCAGTATTGCACTTACGAGGAAATCGTGTGTGTCGCGTCCTGTACTTAATCGTTAACGCAGTTTTCCGCCGTTTTGATGATGCATGCTGTGTGGTGACTTTACGATACGTCCGCCGTAAATCGCAACGCAAAGTGCAATAAACGAAAGAAATTTTGAGTAGAAAATCTCTATGACGCACTTAGACAAATATATTTTTTTTCCGCCCTTTCCTTTATTTTTCCTTTGCTTAATTAAGGCACCGGTGTACCTAACTTATTGATAGCTTGAAGAAATCGCATTGCTTCCTACAGTTGCGCGACAGAATCCCTGTATAACAGTCTTGTGAAATACTTGAAGAACGGCAAACGTCTTATTTTGAATTTTTGTTTATGTATTTGTCTTTTTTTTTATGTCTGCATGTCTTCTCACGTGTTCCCAAGTGTAATTCTTGCATCTGTTTTTTTTTTTTTTAGTGTCTCTTCCTTTCATTTCCCTCGACAATATTTAGAAGTAATTATATATTTAGGTTGAACACGGCGTGTGATATTAAAAAAAGATTAAAAAAAAAAAGATGTAGACCAATTTCTCGCAAGTAATACCAATTGATGCGCAAAAGAAGCGACGTGTTTTTGAATATTCAAAAATGAGAAGTCAGGAGCCACATTGACACCTATTTTTTATTATTGTGTAAAAATAATGCAGTACTCATATCGTAGCACGCGTATCCGCGGTATATTCGTTATTCCATATCTATGTAATTTATATGTCACAGTTAACAATTCATCCCACGTATACAGTGCCGATTACAAAAACCAATCGTTGCTGCTCTTGCCATGATAATTTAGCATAGATTCTATTTTTTTCCTAATGGTCTCTTAATCTCTTTACCGTTAGCACAACGATAATAATGATAGTGACGATGATTGTGGTGGTGGTGATGATGATGATGATGATGATGATGATGGGGTGATAATGATAATAACAATAATTGTGAGAGTAATGGGGAGAGAGGAATAGAAGCAAAGAACAGTACTAATAATTCACATAATAATACTAATAACAATAATATTAATAATAATAATAAAAAGAAATAATATTAATATTATATTCATAATATAATATTAATATTATAATACAATAATTATAATACGACGATGTTGATGTCGATAACGATGATGATGGTAAAAAGAATGGCTATTTGCCGCTCAGGGTTGCACTTGTACGATCAGCGAGATAGCGGCTATATTAATGGGAATGATGATGAAAAGGAATATGGTTGCGGTAGTGCGCCAGCGTAAATAGAAATAAAGAGCACAATCAGAAATCGCAATAGAAATCATTAGTTTTAAGACCAACCGACCGAGTGATTCTTCGACCAGCTGGATTGTTTTTAATCATCTGAAGATTCTTCTCACAATTCTCTTCTCAAGGGCAGGAGGGAGAGGGGAGGAAGGGAACAAAGGATAATAATAAAATAAGATGATAAAATCACTAATCAATAATAACATAAGGCATTATGTTGAGGATCTCGCCCTGGTAACTGGGCCTCGCTAGCATCTGATGCCACTCCCGAAACTCCACATTATCAGTTTGGTTGTCATGCACACTTTTTACACTATCCACGTTCGATAATCCTGACGACACTCCGTTTCCTCCGTCCCTGGTATTCGAGCGCTCGTCACCATCGGAACACGCGGTTGTCATCGACAGTCTTGGCTGGAAGTTCCCGTTAAGTCCTTCGATACACTGCACGTGTAACCTCTCGAGATCCTCGGCGGTAGCATCCCGCGGTGGCGGAAAACATTCGGCGTCGTCTCGTTCTTCGTCTTCGCCCCAATCTATCGAGCTGGGATCTAAGGGCGGTAACTTGGCCAATATTTCTTCGACCGTGAGATCCTGTTGCAACGGTGATCGACAGGTCTCGGTGGTTCCTGATATCCTATCGTCTTCACGAAGCCTGTCCTGACATGACTCAGGCGAGGGCGACTCGCGACAATTCTCCGCGGATTTCAATCGAGCTGCCGCTTTTTGCGTTTTGCCAGTGGACGTCTCCGAAGAGGCCAGACTTTTGCGAAGACTCTGGGAGTTCTTCTGGTTTGAGCAGCGCAGATGCTTGGACACCTGCTCATTGTTGCTACCTCGCAGAACATCTTCCGTGCTAGGTGGTTCCGCGACGCTTTGACTAGGTAGGGCATTGGCGCTGCCGATGGGACTACAATTACTTCCGCGCGCCTGCAAATCGGCCAGTAACTCTTGCGTGGTCTTTAATTTCGGATTCCTCGAGATACTGGCCAGCTTCTCTTTCACGCTGTCCTCCAGAAACGATTGTCGCTTCGCGGACTTACTGCCCTTTTTACGGCCGCGCTTCTTCGGGCCCGGCTCGTCGTTCGTAGCCTGGAGAGAGGTCTCCGCGAAACAATCGGAGATTCGTTCCTTCAGTGTAGGGCTAGGCACTTGCGAATTTAAATTACCACTTATGTTCTCGCCATTGAGTCGTTGCTTCTTGACTTCTTCTATCGTCGACTCGGTTCCATGCGGCGATTGATAGTATTGACATTGGTCCTTGCTACTTTCCTCTTTCCGTAATCGCTTATTGGAACTGTGTGTACGCGGCACCGCTTCCGTTACGTGATTCTGATTCGAGGTACCGAGTACTGGGGATGCATTCCTCGAGCAGGAACTTATCCAGTGATTGCTGGTCAGGCTAATTGACTGCTTGTTGTTCGAAGACGCGTTAGGAGATCGTGAATGGTCACTGTGCACAGATAGCGCCGGACTGAGAACCTGTAATCATATACTCTCGATATTTAATATAGTGGTTTTCATTTCAATATACATATACATGTAATATATATTAATTGTATTAAATAACATTAAGGAACCTATTCTGTAACTCTTAACGATTCTAACGACATCGTTAAATTGCTGCGCAGCTATTTTGCGGTACACAAAACCTGCGTAATGATAATATAACGATATTGCAGACGTTAAGTTATAGAATAGGCCCTAAATGAAAATGGATAAATACATATAAGTATGACAAAAAGAGATACGAAAAAAACTGAAAAAGAAAACGTCTTAATCCTGCTGGTCTGTTTGAATTCATTTGACCCAAAAATATTCTTACTAATATTTTATTTAAAAAACTTTTTCTCTGGTATCATTTAATGATTTTATCTATTAATATAACT